CTTGCAATAGCTTCTCACGTCATAGCAATTTAAAGATGAAATTGCACCTCATTGCCACATCATCTTGCAAGTCACAAAAATTGCACCATTAGAGATGACCATTATTGCATCTTGTCACATGTCTTAGGGAACTTAACCATGGCAAATTAAAAAAATACTGCATGCATAGAAAAATATTGGTCTGGACAATTCAAAAAATAGGAGACTTTCCTAGTCAGATGATGTATGGCTCCCCTCAGTACCTGATAGTTTTGAGTGCTGGAGAATTAAGAAAAAGACAAAAGACTGGAAAAAAAACCCAACAAAGACTTAGGAAACTTGTTAACAGAAGACATCCATTGCTGGCCCCTTTGCTGCTCCAACGCTCCACCCCGCCCTGCATCAATCGACTCTCATGTAAGCCGAGGACGTTTGCTTGAGGAGGCCTCAGGGGTCTCTTGATTCTCCGTATGCCGATTCTCAATAAAAGTATTGGTCAATTCGGCTATACGGTACATCGGCTAATAAGTGCACTGGTCCTCCTTAACATAAACCCCCATATCCATCCCAACCCTTTCAAGAAAGGTGGTCACAAAGGTGGCATAGGGAAAGGTAGTGTACCAGTTTTCCCCTTTAGGAGCAGCCTCAACCATGTTCAGGCACATGAGAGATGCGAGGTTAACAGGAACACCTCTTTGAGCTTGCACAAGGATAAACAAGTCAAGTTTACGAATAATCGAATGACCATGGTACCTTGGCAGGAAGCAGTTGACGATCATCCAGTGGAGGAATCGAAGAGGATCTTGGGAGGAAAGAAGCCTGGATGCGCCCCTTCGTGAGTTTCGCCAGTCAACTTCAAACTCAAAATCGTACAGCCGCCCAAGATCGCTTCTGCTCTCAATGGGGTGTCCTCCGGCGGGAAGATCGAGGATCTCAGCAAACTGATGAGGCTGGAAGCAAACTCTATGTTCCAGGAAGATCGACACAAGATGAGAATCACAGGGACCAGAAAGCTGTAAATTGTGGTAGAACTTCCTCACCACATGGGGGCAGTAACTGGTGCTTCCTCGACTCCGGAGATCAAAGAATTTTTCCCAGCCAAGATTTTTTATTAACGTCTTCACTTCTGGAGGGAAAGGAGTTAGGTGTATGAACTCCTACTCAGCCACAATTGTTGTTTTGCTTGTAAAGGAAAGATAGTCACCGAGACTGGCGGTGGATCGACAGTCTTCATTTGATAGAGATAGTATCCCCATTTCCGCAAATGATTTATCTTTGTTTTCCATGGAGTCTGGAGGAAGAAGGAACAAGGGGAAGGTGAAGATGGAGGAAAGAGACAATGTAGGTGTAAGAAAAAGTGATCGTGGGGGTTGAGTCTGGAGACGTGAGTGTGATGGAGACGGTTGAGTCTGGAATGTGAAGAGTTAGAAGATTTCGGAAAATATGTAATGATGATGGTAACTCGTGTAGGTTAAACTAGGGTAAGTAAAGCTAGTTAAACTAGGGTTGGCACACTAATTGATACGACAGGAGAAATGAAATGGGCTCGCACGTTCCAGGCCCACTTTTGAATATTGCATGGATCATGTACAAGCCCACTTTTGAATGTTATTTAAAAGCCTGCAAAAATCAATGATCAGACCCAGTCCAACTAAAATTAGTCCTAAACGCACTGTTAATAGATAAACACAAATTAAGGAGACCTCTCCATCCGATTCGAATCAAATTATGTCTTCTTCATCTCCTTCCTCAATCCTCTGGGCGAGACGAACACTGCATATCAGGAAACCTTAATTTCACCGAGTGATAGAAGTTTCGAGAAAATGAAATGACAATAACGCTAAGACAAGATGACAAAGCACTAGCGACATGAACCCTAGGGTTAGCAAACCTCTTTCAAAGGTTCTTTTGCAAATGAAAAGTTTGATGAACACAATAATAGTCATGGTCGCCATAATCGTGTTAGAAAGAGATAGGCGAGGGGAAATAAAATGGCGAAGAACAAACAAGACAAGATAAATTGGGAAATTCAATCTACGTCGAATGTGGATGCAAGTAATTGGGATTCAAAAAGATGATTAAGTTGGGGAGTTCAAATTGGATGGGAAGCTTCTCTTGGAACTGTGAAGGGGCGTCCCTCCAAGACGAGAGAGGGATCGTGTAATTGGTTAGGGAGACTGGAAATTGGTTAGGGCGGCAGTGGGTCTACCCAATTGGGTTTGCAGTCTTAATCCATTTAATTTAATCGGGGCAGTTAGTTGGAGTAGGATGAAAACAAACTTAACGCGGCAGGAGGCTTTTTGTAATTTGTTTAGTTATTTAGTGGCGCAGTTAGGTTTAACAAACGTGAGCCGTGGAGATTGAAAATGAATGGTTAAGATCGGCCAAGGTACCCGTACCCCGATTTTGCCATGGGTACCATAGAAGTCACCATATATGTATATATTCTCATAAAAGCAAGGGCAAAAGTGAACTTTCCAACAAAAAGTAATATAACTAGTTGAATACTAAAAGAACCATCACCAAAACCAAACAATGTAGTACATTACATCATTTTCCTTAATTGCATGTCTATTACAATGCATACATTGATCACAATGCATTGATTTAAGTATCACCAAAACCAAACGATAGGGGGAAACAGAGGCAAGATTATAGGGGTGGGTAATTTGGGAAGGGGGTGGGTAAAGAGATTTTTACAACCGGTTGGGTTGTGAGGGCTAAGTGGAGTGATTAATTAATTAATTAATATTTTTAATGACGTGTCATGCCGAGTGGACAACAGGTAACGAAGTTTTGGATAGAATTGAACGGATTGGCCATTTCGTTATTCACTCAAACTTGTTTTACTCAAACGTGCAACATTAAAAAAATTATGAACGTTTTATACAAAGTGAATAGGTTTGTTAATGATAATTCCCCAGTAGATTCAACGAATTTATCATCCCAGCAGTAATTCAATCATTACCTCAAAATATGATTAACTATCGATAAAAGTTCCCCGAATATGAACAAACAATCACATGTTGGTGCGTTGAGGAAAATTACAAAATACAAAGTTCGCCATTAAACCTGAGCGCCATGCACGTGGCTGTGTTTGTTTGCAGATCGATCATAATTTCCTTGGCGGGGGGAAAACAAAACAAATAATTTTGTGTTAAGTAATGATGAGAAGTGTGTTTTGTAGCATTTAATTGCTCTGCAAAGGAGAAAGGTTAGGGCTGGCAGATTTGGCCTGGACATGTGCATGATACAGATAGGTCCACCATTGATTACACTCTTTGGGGATATTACTATAATATTATTTATAATCAACCCAACAAGACCCAGCTTTATCCCAAAAAGCTAGCTACCACATCCCATGATTGCTTGATAATAATAATCGTAAATGCGTAATCATCCAGCCAATACAAACGTTTTAAGTTTATCGGCTTATATCAGTAATTCATCAAGTGCTTCGAGAGTTCCTCTCTAATAATGAAAATGTATTTTCACACCAAATAATAAATTTATATAATTTAATGATATAATGTTCAAAAATCAGTTATTTCCAATAACTGAAGTTATTGAGAGATTTTCATTTATAAATTTTATGTCATTTATGAAAACTTTGTAACACGTCGAAGACCATTTCATTCTAGTAACTCTATCAAAACCAAACCATGCTAAAACAAAATCCAAGTCTCAAAATCTGATTTTCGTACTTTCTTTTTGTATTTGGTACTAAACTAATTCACTCTTGTCTCGCACCAAATTAGTTAAAATGCTAACCATTCATGAAACTAACTTTCGTCAGGTCGTAAATTTTATTTGCGATGTGTTTTAGTCTTATATATTCGGTTGTTCACTATCATAAAATATTTGTCTAGCCTTATACCTACGGAGGAATCATTAATTGACGTTGTCACGACTGTTTCTCTGCGGATCGAGAAATAGGAGAAATGATAAAGTAAGAATACAAACAAAAGAACAAACAGAAAGACACACGAATTTACGTGGCTCATTAACACAATATTTGTTAGCTAGTCCACGGCCAGAAAATAGCCAGTTTCACTATACTTCGAGGAGATACAGATTAGGAATATAAGAAGTATTTATAGTATTTCTCCATATGGTCTAACCCTAATCCAATCTGATAAAGAAAAGAAAAAACAATTACAATCAGACCCAACGAGACCCCATGACATCCAATCATAACCAAATAATCCAATTCAAATCACATCAACCAATTCATAGAAAAACAGAAATGTTACACAGCACGGGAATGCATTTATCATCAACGATATCCCATCAAACTTAATGGAGTAATTATCCATCATAATGTTCCCCAAACGCGTTCGACAAAGAGTTTTCTATCTTCTAGTTTTTCACTTGTTTAGAATCAGATCCCATGAACTTAATTCATTTCCAGAAGGAAACAACCTGGTTGTTTCTTCCCCCCAACGTCGGTGCATTCTTTTCACGTTTTGTTATATTCAGAAATCGGCAGTCCATATGCATATATTGTCAGACTTTAATTAGATGCGTTCTATTTTAACCCCAGGCTTAATCTAAATAAGATCAAAGAAATTCATATTGGGACTTGCTTCAGACATTTGAAACTACAGAAATTATTTGATTAATGACATGCAGTTCATCCTTAATTACACGATTCCCTTAAAAGAGAAATCAACTCATAGAGTTAATATTTACACATATCTGTCATATTTTGTGGGTGAATTAATACAGTTTTACTTAATATTTGAGGTTGGAAAATTTCGAATGTACAACCCTTTAACGACCATAAGATTCATATATGATATAGTGTCGTGATTCACTTGAATGTGGAGGTATTTTAGTGTGCTTTATATAGTATTGGTGCTATAAAACGTTTACAGCCATTAGATCATGTTCAAAATATATCAGCCATTAGATCTTATTTAAATTATTAATATATTGTTTTATTTGTGTATGGACAACCGGTTATACCAATTGTAAAGTTTCAAAACTCATTCTCTTATCCTTCTCCTCCCCGTCGACAGAGCTCGGGCGAGGAATTCTAATCTCCGGCGATGCCAAATCCAATACCATCCTCTACACCAACGGTCGCTCCGTCATCATTAGGTACCTCGACCAACCCTTCAAAGTCGATGTCTACGGCGAGCACGGCTACCCTGTCACCGTCGCTCGCTACTCCCCCCACAAAGATTTGGGGTGTCCGTAACAGCTTCGTCCTCCACAACGAGTTTTGCATCCTCTCCGGCCGAATCGACGATCTGCAATGGTCCCCTAATCAACTGAGGATCGTCATCTCCGGCGACGACAAGGGAAAATACTTCGTACGTGCTTTCGTGTGAGTTTCCCCCTCCCTCCCTCTTATCGTAATTTTACCCCCTTTTGCCTTCAAAACCTAATTTCGAATTTAACAAGTTATTGAGCGAGCAATTTGTATCCCGGATTTCTGAAGGTGGGATTCGAGTAGCACCGTGGGGGAATTCGACGGAAATTCGAAGCGAGTGTTGAGCTGTGCGTTCAAGCCGATCGGCCGTTCCGGATTGTTACTGCGGAGAGGATTTCATTGTGAATTTCTACGAAGGATGAACAGAAGACGATTTTGACAAGCAGCTACGATGGCCACATTATCAAATGGATCCAGTGTATTGGTTATGCTGGTAAATTGGAAAGGGGGTAAATTCTTAGATCAAGTGCTTGGCAACTGCTAAAGATCAGATCATGACATCCGGATTCGATAACAAGGTAAACTTCCATCATTAACTACAACTGTAGAATGTACCCCGATGTTTCAGCTTAACCAGTTAGTTGCATTTTAGATGCATTTTAGAGAAAAACTCCTAAACCACACTGCAAAACCGTAACTCCAAATCCATCATATTCTGCTGCTTCTAGGCTAGAATGGACTGGAGACAGTCGAATGCCTTATTTCTTTCTTCTGCTCTCGACCTCCTCTTCAGTCAACAACCGATTCATCTTCAATAGTATCTCGTTGCCACAAAGTAAGTCTTTCCCTGTTTCAGTTTTTGACTATTTGCCACTATGAGCTGCTGTTTTCAATTACATCTTATGAAATCTCTGTCCATATCAATTAACCTGCAGCAAATTGAACCCCTTATTTATCAATTCCACCTTATCCTTTTCGTCTGTATTACCTTGTATAGGGTATGCATCCATGCCTTGGAACTATCCTATTTTAGTATAAATGCATAAGCTTGGGCTTGGTCTTGGCTGCTGTATTACATATAGACGAAATTTGATGGAAAAAAGTTAATCAAGTTGAAATTAAATGAAATCGTACTCCGGGTACAAGTTTGTTACCCAAGTGCATGTTATCTCTGAGCATAGAGCATAAATAAGTATAGTGTAGACTAAGATATACCTTTGGCATTGGCTACTATCTCCTGGCCTCTGCATAAGCTCTATTCAATCGCACCTGTACAGAACGCCATACCTGGTGGACATCGTGAACGACAGGAAAGCAGGACGAGTCTTCAAACTGGACTCCATCGCCAACGGCAACGCCTGGCGCGGAATGGACGTCCTCATCTTCAACTCCTGGCACTGGTGGACTCACACCGGCAGAACTCAGCCGTATGCCCCCTCACCCAGCTCCATTAATACATCATTTTCTGCTACTCATAAATCGAGCACGATTCAAAATCCGAAATGCAGATGGGATTACATACAAGACGGCAACAAGCTGTACAAGGACATGAACAGGCTAGTGGCGTACTACAAAGGGCTCACGACGTGGGCCAGATGGGTGGATCGCAACGTCGATCCCCGGAGGACCAAAGTCTTCTTCCAGGACATCTCTCCAACGCATTACGACGGCAGGGAGTGGAACCAGCCGTCGCAGACGTGTTCAGGGCAGACCCAGCCCTTCTTTGGGGTAAGGTACCCTGCAGGGATGCCTCCCGCGTGGGCTGTCGTGAACAAGGTGTTCAGCAGGATCAAGATCAGGCCAGTGTACCTTATGGACGTCACCGGTATGTCGTTGTACAGGAAGGATGCTCACCCTGGTTCCTATAGCGGCCTCCACTCGGGCACCGATTGTAGCCATTGGTGCCTTCCTGGCCTCCCTGATACCTGGAACCTACTCCTCTACTCAGCTTACATCAGCTAGCTACGAACTCCGATTCGGAATTAGAGTCTTACACGACCAAATGTGTTCTCTTCTGTTGGTCTAGTTCTATTCAATCGCACGACAGTTGCCTTCAACGGTACTAGCTGTCTTTAAATTAATGCTTAAAAGTTTGTCGGTCTAGTTCTGATGATCATACTTGATAATTCCATATATTATCTGCTCATTATGTATTTTACCAATTTGGCTATCCTTAATGCTTCTTGAAATCTAACTTCGGTTGGTTGTCAGTAGATACCAGTTAGCAGAATAATCCCACTTTGTTGAGATGGGATAGATTCTTTCTTGGCTGCAACTTACTATGTAGTATATTGTAGCTAGCTTGGAAGGGTTCATGAAGAAATGAGAAGGCATAAGAGATTCAAAGTTGGAACAATGATCTCAAAAGTGTCAAAAATTTTGCATGGTTGCAAGTGTTAATGTGTGGTTTGTTGCAAAGTCCAAAATTAGCAGACTGAAATTATTCATCACTGCAAAATATAGAAGGAAGCTTGGAGTTTATGAAGGTCTTGGTGCCATCTCTTGACTTATGATGGTGGCAGTTTCATAGAAGTTGCTGTTGTCATTTGTTAAATGCTTGGGGTGAAGAGATGTTGCTGAAAATGAAGGCGTTGGGGAAGTTGAAGCAAACGATCCAAGCACAACATGTAATGCTGGTGTTTAGCTTGAAAGAACATTATGTCTCAACTTGTCATATTAGTTTTTTCGAAGTTAGTATCTAGTCACATTGAATGGATCTATGTAATGCTGATGTCTAGCTTTAGAGAACATAATGAATCATCCTTTTCATAAGTTTCTGGAAAATAGTCCATTATGTTTGAAACACCATTATAATAAGTAGAGAGGATAGTTCTATAGGTGAAAGTCTCCTACTGGAAATCTGACACCTCATACTGGTAATCTCACGACAGTAAAATGCTCCAGTGAGATGTAAAAAGCAGTGCTTCATTCCTCAGGCAAATCTCACGGCCGTGAGATGTCCTGTGAGATGCAAAGAGCAGTTCTCACTATCCAAGGAAATTTCACGGCTTCTACTTGACATTCTCACGCCCGTCAAAATCTCACGTGAAATTATTATAAAAAAAATCTCAAGTGAAATTGAAACACACAGCTGCCACTCAAACGTTCTCACGGCTCATTCTGGCAAAATAAACGTGAAATTATTATAAAAAAAATCTCAAGTGAAATTGAAACACACAGCTGCCACTCAAACGTTCTCACGGCTCATTCTGGCAAAATAAAGGTCGTGGAATTAAGATGTACCTACACTTTGTAGAGTTGTACCTTTACACTATGGTACAACTTAAAGTTGTACCTACACTTTCCCAAAAATCCCTCTATGGTACAATTCAAAATTGTACCTATACATTATGTACAACTTTAAGTTGTACCTACACTTTCTAACAAATCCCAATATGGTACAACTCAAAATTATACCTATACTTGTGGTACAACCTTATGTTGTACCTACACTTTCTAAAAATCTTTCTATGGTACAACCCAAACTTGTACATATACTTGTGGTACAACTTAAAGTTGTACCTACACTTCCTAACAAATCCCTCTATGGTACAACTCAAAATTGTACCTATACTTATGGTACAACCTTAAGTTGTACCTACACTTTCTAATAAATCTCTTTATGGTACAACTCAAAATTGTACCTATACTAATGGTACAACTTTTAGTTGTACCTACACTTTCTCAAAATTCTTTTATGGTACAACCCAAACTTGTACCTATACCATGGTACAACTTTAAGTTGTACCTACACTTTCTAACAAATCCCTCTATGGTACAACTCAAAATTACCTATACTAATGGTACAACTTTAAGTTGTACCTACACTTTCTAATAAATCTCTTTATGGTACAACTAAAAATTGTACATATACTAATGGTACAACTTTTAGTTGTACCTACACTTTTTCAAAATCCTTCTATGGTACAACCCAAACTTGTACCTATACCATGGTACAACTTTATGTTGTACCTACACTTTCTAACAAATCCCTTTATGGTACAACTAAAAATTGTACCTATACTAATGGTACAACCTTAAGTTGTACCTACACTTTCTAACAAATCCCTTTATGGTACAACTAAAAATTGTACCTATACTAATGGTACAACCTTAAGTTGTACCTACACTTTTTCAAAATCCTTCTATGGTACAACCCAAACTTGTACCTATAACATGGTACAATTTTAAGTTGTACCTACACTTTCTAATAAATCCCTTTATGGTACAATTCAAAATTGTACCTATACTAATGATACAACTTTAAGTTGTACCTACACTTTCTAATAAATCTCTTTATGGTACAACTAAAAATTGTACCTATACTAATGGTACAACTTTTAGTTGTACCTACACTTTTTCAAAATCCTTCTATGGTACAACCCAAACTTGTACCTATACCATGGTACAACTTTATGTTGTACCTACACTTTCTAAAAATCCTTCTATGGTACAACCCAAAATTGTACCTATACTAATGGTACAACTTTAAGTTGTACCTACACTTTCTAACAAATCCCTTATGGTACAACTAAAAATTGTACTTATACTAATGGTACAACCTTAAGTTGTACCTACACTTTCTCAAAATTCTTTTATGGTACAACCCAAACTTGTACCTATAACATGGTACAATTTTAAGTTGTACCTACACTTTCTAATAAATCCCTTCATGGTACAACTCAAAATTGTACCTATACTAATGGTACAACTTTAAGTTGTACCTACACTTTGTGAAACAAATATTTCAATGGTACAGCTGAAACTTGTACCTATACGATATGGTACAACTCTAATTTGTACCTACACTTGTATACATTGATTCATTATTTACAAGATTGCCATTAATGATGTGGGACCAGTCATTTAGTGGGTTTACCTCCTCAACAGGTCACCTTTTTTATAGCATGTGTGCTATAGAGCACACTAGAAGGGCTCCTTGAATGTGTAGTACATATATGCAAATATAAAACCGTTACTTTGTCAAAAATTATGTTCAAGGTTTAACAATATCAATTGGTAAGTAAAGTAACTAACTCTGTTATATATAGTTAGCTTTCAATATCGATATTTCATTGGAAAGGATGAGACAAAAGATTGGATTGCATCTGCAACCGTCCTCGATACAAATTTGTCCATTTCTCTGCATTCTCAGCACCAAAAAACAACTAGAGGATTGTCGGATGATTGATACATGGGCTAACTAGCAGTCTAGCATGTGCTTTTGGTCCCATCACAATCAACCTATTAGTTAATTAACACGAAAATACGTACAACACTAACCGCGCCTTTGTAACTCCAGAGATCTCGTGCTAACTATGACTAGGGATGGGATGAAGATGAGCATTGAGCAATCCCTCGTCCTCGGTATTCAGCAGTGGAGCTATGTGTAGTCGGGTCGAGAAGGAATTACAATTTCCTTTAACCTGTTATCTAACATTATTATAATGCGTGTATTTACATCGTCGGAAAGTATTAGAACGTGTGGGAATGAATCACTTGTATGCATGATTAAAAGTAGAAGAAAGAGAACGTCATTCTTATTAGTGGGAATCAATCGGATGAGTGAGACTCCGTAATCTGTATGCATGACTAAGAAATGAATCACGGGATAGTATTGATTTTCAACCTAGAATTCTCATATTCGAATTGGTTAGCGCTGTAGTCACTCACTATATATATCCAATTAACGGTGAGTAAGGGCCCAATGAAAGGCCCTGAAAATCTTAGCCCATGTTTGAGATCAGATCATACAACTAATCTGAAAGATGTGACCAACCCAATTAATGAACCCATCACTCCACCGGCTGGCTGGCTGGCTGGTTGTTGTTCTTTCTTCTACGCCAACTATAATTAATAACTCACAGCTGCCTCAGAGTACGTATCATGTGAGTTCGTGTAGCCCACAGAATATTTATAATAACGTGCAACGGAGAGAAAATGTCAAATAGAGGCATATGGCCATGTGGTTCAAGGTCAGGCCAATCCCTGGATTGGGCGGGAAGCTAGGATCCCATTTATATATAATGCAGTGTTTTAGCTGCTTCGTAGTATCTTTACCGTCTAACCCTAGTTAACTTAATTCAATTCAACAAGAATTAATTAGTAAAAAACCTAATGTAATATAGTTAGTTTTATGTGATAATAACTAGATTGAGTTGAATTAACATATATATGTCGAGTTATTCACATAGTATCCATCAAGGGTTCCTTGATATAGTTAGTGATCATGAAACATGCAGTTTGAACTCGTGTGAATTAACATAGTAAATAATTCAATCTAATGTAACTAGATTGAGTTATTCACTATGTTGATTTTAATACGATAAAATGAACATATCGTCAAGAAACGATTATATGGTGTTATGATCGGGTTAATAAGGAATCCAAATTTGATGGAAAATAAGAAGAGGGAAATGAAATTCGTCGGTGGTGTGGATTTGAAGTATTCGCGGCTTTCATGTTTGGGCATGTGATAATGTGAGCTTCATGTTTGTGTGTGAAAAGAGAGAGAGAGAGAACGTGCAAATAATTGTTTTAGGAATTGATTCCATAGAAATCTCATTGCCAGAGATAAAAATTCAGAAAAATAATATTTATTACAAACCCATTATTAGAAAATAAAAATTAAAAGAAATTTCCCACAAGCTCAACTTGCCAGTTTGGCTACTTCCAATCAGCCACACTACCACTGCCCATTTTTTCAGACCTTGCCATGTGAGTTTGTTCTTATTGTTATTGTTATCAAATACATTAATTAACAAAATTAAAAGTCCTCTCCCCCAGAAATTTCCCTTATTTATATGCTTCTTCTCCTTCTTTGGATCAGCCAAACAGTTGGTAAAGTACCAATCCTCAAAGAAACCTCCGATTCCTTCTCTTACTTTCTCTTCCTCTGCTGCTGAACATCAATACCCAACAACAATGGCAAAGGCCATGGCTATGGCGTTTCCTCTTCTATGTGCACTACTCTGCATCTCTCTGCAGGCTCCCAATGTCGCCAATGCCTTCACTGCTTCCGCTTGGACCAAAGGCCACGCCACTTTCTATGGCGGCAGCGACGCCTCGGGCACCATGGGTACGTAGTCTTACTCTTATCCGTAAAAAGTAATCGCGAGAAAATGTTAAGTCGTCTTTCTTTTAATGTCGGTTTTTATTTTTTGCAAAATGAGACACTGAATGTGTAAATGTTGGATTCGGAACACTTTTCCTCGTCACTCTACCGTTACATGTAAAGCAAAAGAAATAACATGATTAAGACCGTTATTACTTTTAATTTCTCCATAAACTAACGTCACGTATCGACTAATTCTTTCATCTTTTTATCAAACTTACTCCAATGTGGCAGGCGGGGCATGTGGGTATGGCAACTTATACTCGACTAAGTATGGCACAAGGACTGCTGCCCTAAGCACAGCTCTGTTCAACGACGGTGCCTCATGTGGGGAGTGCTACAAGATCATATGTGACTACAAAACAGACCCTAGATGGTGCATTAAGGGCAGATCGATAACGATCACTGCAACGAATTTCTGTCCTCCAAATTTCGCGCAAGCCAACGACAATGGTGGCTGGTGCAACCCGCCATTGAAGCACTTCGACATGGCTCAACCGGCATGGGAGAAGATTGGGATCTACAGAGGTGGAATCATCCCTGTCATCTACCAAAGGTAAGGGGGAAGTTGAATGAGGAAATTTTTGATTTAGCACCCAAGCTTTTACTATCTTCACAGTTTGGTCACTTTGGTACTCATCTTGTGTTTTTTTTTTTTTCTTTCGGTTTTAGGGTGCCATGTAAGAAGCACGGGGGAGTGAGGTTCCAGGTTAACGGGAGGGACTATTTCGAGTTGGTGACCATCACCAACGTGGCGGGAGCGGGATCTATCAGGTCGGTTTCCATCAAGGGTTCCAAGACAGGGTGGTTGCCCATGTCGAGGAATTGGGGGGCGAACTGGCAATCGAATTCTTACCTCAACGGGCAGACCATGTCGTTCCAAATCACAACCACCGACGGAGAGATGAGAACGTTCAATAATATCGTACCGGCCAACTGGGGATTCGGCCAGACTTTCTCGAGTCGAGTACAGTTCTAGAGCGTGAAGGTTCAAGGCATTTACTGATTTCGATATAAGAGCTCGCACGATTTTCCATTAAAGTTTCTTTATGCTTTGATTTTGGCCGAGGCATTGCTTATAAATTTTACAAGGAGCTGCCCGCCGCATGACTTATAGTTAGGACGCCTTTTGTGAGTCCTGACCGCAACGTCATAATATTTGAACCCAATGAAATTTCCTTGAGAAAAAGAGGAAGTGTGGGTGAGGGATTTGGTTGGAGCAAATTGATCAATAAGTATAATGAGGGCATTGGTATTGCAGAGTTCGGAAGTTATAGGTTGTAATTTGTATTAATTTTCCCTTTTCATGATATGAAACGGTTCCTATCATCTGTTTCGCTCTTCATTAATTTTGTTGTCTTTTTGGTTCTATTTGAGGTCATTGTATTGATGAAATTGAAATGTTCATGTAATAATCGATTATCTTAATTAGTGCAACACTTGGGGCTGATTAATTAAAGATTGGTGGGCTTAAGTAATGTTACCTGTTTAAATTAATTTGGATCTTTGTTAGAATTTCGGTTCCCAAATATTATCATCAACTTATCCGTATTGATATTAATTTTCACAATGTTGTACAAAAGTAACCATATGATTAGCTAGGAACTCGTCATCAACTATGACTTTTTTTTAGTGACCAAATATAAAATATGTCACTTATAAAAACTGCACTTCAATGCTGAACCTTAAAATCGAGTACACCAAAGAGACAATAATGGGACAAGGAAGTTCATGGAAAAGGTTGCAAGAAGCAAGAAAATACAAAAGGAAGTGCCCCAGAATTTGTTGGGCCATCACTGTACGTACTGATACAAAATTTGGCCTAGAAACTTGATCGGCGGCCGATTGGACTTGACTAAACCAGACTTATATATAGTGCTGGAAGTTTTTCTTTAATGGAAATCTGCTAGAGCTTATATTAATCCGCGGACTCAGTTACATTGCCGAGAATCAAACGATCCACCAAATAGACAGGGGGTCTATCTACCCAGATAACACTCTCATTCCAATTCGTCTGTGCATGCGCCATAGTGTGTGCAGCTTCATTAGCCCCCTACATACATAGGCGGAGCTAGGAGGCATGAGATGTGTCCCGGGACACAGGTAAGTTTTGGTAAAAAAAAATACCCCATATATATATATATATATATATATATATATCAATTAAGGATTGCACTAATTAATTTTAGGTAATATAGAAGTGTTCAAATCCAACAAGCACACAAGCCCTTAATTTGCAAGTGTAGAAGGAACATTTTTCAGCTTTGAGCTATATTAAAAACAAGTTTCAAAGTCACATTGACCAATTTGCTAATGATTGCTTAGTCGGATATATTGAGAATTTGAAAATGCGTCGGGATTGCTTATAAAAATAATGATTTTATTAGTCTAGTATTTTTTAATATATATAAATAAATGATTTAGATATTATCAGTTTTAATTATATTTATTAAATAATTAAATAATTATTTATTTTATATTATTGAAAGAGGACACAACTACTTTCAGATTCTGCCTCCGCCACTGCCTATATATGAACCTTCACCTGCTCCCTTCCATACGTTCTAAAAGTCTCCTCGCGTTCCGACATATAGTCCCTAATTCTGTGAAGATATCCTCTGCCGCTTGGAGGCTGTGCACCACCATCTGGCTATCCAATTCAATGATCGACCTTGAGTAATGCATCTGCCAGGCTAGTTGTGCGCCAAATTCCACAGCAAGAGCCTCCGCCATTACCACACTCCAATTCCCCTGTACCAGTTTAGCTGCTGCGAGAAGGAAACATCCTTCATCATCCTGGATAACCACTCCAAGACCCACCCCACCATTGGGTAGGATTGTACGCGTGCAGCGGGCCATGCCGCCCAAGGGCTAACACGACACGACACGGTTAGAGCACGACACGAACACGAGCACGAAATAAATGGGCCAGCACGGCACGAGCACGAATAATTTATGGGTCGTGCCGGGTCTAAACTTCATGGGCACGGGCACGAGCATGGGCACGACACGGTATATAAGTAGGTCATGTCGGGCCTAATATTTTCGAGATTTTATTGAGTATAAGAACGTACATGGCACGAAAATAATATTTATTTGATAGAAAATAAATATAAAAAGAATTATAGGTTCAAATATTACAAAACACAAGTAGAAAAATAATTATTTATTGTTGTTAGAAGTGTCATAAAGATCTATATGTAATTACTAACATAAGTAAAAATGGACAAAGAATTAAACAAAGCCAAATCACACTCGCTATACTTCTAATTTTCTTTTTCCCCTTATTTGTTACTTTTCACAAACATTATCGATTAATACTATATTCTCCGTCCAATTTTCACCTTTTTTTTTCATTCTCTCTTTTGTTTTCGTCCTTTTCATTAAACACGAATACGAGCATGGCACGAGCACGAATAAGCACGGCACGATTCGAACCGTGCCCGGGCCGGGCCTAGCAAAGTTTACAAATGGGCTTGCATGGCACGACATGAAAACTGACGGACCGTGCCAAGCACGACACAAAATAAATAGGCCCGAAGCGTGCCCGTGCCGTGCCGTCCCAAGCACGGCCCATCGCCCATGTACAGGCAGGATACCTGCGTCCGTCACCACCGCTATATAGCTCCTATCTGGGCGCCTCCATCTCTTCCATTGCGCGGCACTCGGTCCACCAACTGGGGCCTCGAATCTTGCCTGGTGTTGTTTATACTCCTCAAACAAAAGGTGTGCCCATATCGCTATTTCGTTAAATGGGCATTGCGTTCTCTCCACAGAGCCCACAGTAGGGTGCACCATTCTTCCAACACATCATCCTCAACCAAAGAAATCACTACATTGACCCAACCAAAACTATCATTGGTTCCTCGAGCTGTAAAGCACCCAATGAGTGGCGAAGCCCTCCAAACTCGAGCCATCCAGCTGCACTCGTGGAAGAAGTGGATTTGTGTCTCCAGCAAGTCGCAAAGGGGACATTTATCACTCCACTTGTTAATCCGAGTACTCATATGGTCACATGTAGGTAGAGCGTCTCTCATAAATCTCCACATGAATTGTTTAATCTTTCGCGGGGTTTGCATGGACCACATCCTCTTCCATGCATTCATGTTGCCATGCAGAGAGAGCCCATTTTCCTGCGCAAACTCCTTGTGCCACCTCCTGTACTCATCCTTGACGCTGTACTCCCCATTTCTACTATCATGCCAAATCAGCCGATCAGGCTCTTGTTCACCCCGCAGCAGGATCTGGCGGATAGCGTCTGCTACCTCCGCATGGAAGCAGCTCGCGAGTAAACCTGACTCTCACTGGTTGCTCTCTGGCTCAATTAAGTCACGGACAAGTGAATCAACTGGGAGGCCCATCGAAGCCGACAGGACATACATACCAGCAGTAGTGTGGGAATCCACCTATCGCTCCAAATCCTCACCATCGATCCATTACCGATCCTCCACCATAGCCCATCACACAAAAAATCCTGCGAACTCATTAGTGAGCGCCATATATAACTTGGGTTACGTCCACAGTGTGCTTCCAGGATCGTTGAATTCTTATGGTACTTGGCTTTATAAATATGAGCCGCCAAAGAATCCGGCCTCTGCGAGAGTCGCCAAAGCTGTTTTGCCAGGAGCGTGGTGTTAAATCCTATCAGGTCTCGAAATCCCATCCCTCATTCTTCCTTAGGCATCGTTAGTTCCTCCCGGCTAATCCGATGGGCCCGCCTTTCCCTCCCTTTTTCACCCCACCAAAAATTTGTAATCAAACTGTTAATTTCATCAACAACACCGTCAGGAACCCGAAACACACCCATCGCATACGTAAGCTGAGCCTGTGCAACCGACTTAATCAAGACTTCCCGTGATGCAGATGACATTGTTCTTTCCTTCTAGTCCTTCAGCTTTTTCCTGATCCGTTCTCTGATTTCCAGGAAAAGCTCCTTCTTTGACCTTCCAGCCTCAGTAGCTAATCCCAAATATTTATCATGCTTCAAGACACATTTCATACCCAAATACACCTCCCACCTCCTGTGCGTATTGACATTAGGACTGAAGGAGACGTTTGATTTCTGGAAATTAACAAGTTGTCCTGATTCGCGCTCATAATCCTTCAGAATAATTTTTAACTCTTTACTCTCCTGCACCGTGGCACTGAAAAAGAAATCACCATCGTCAGCGAAAAAGAGGTGCGACACCACTAGTGACCTACGCGCCGGTTGGAAATCGTGGATTCTCCCATCCTCGACCGCCTTCTTCGTATACGATAGGGCTGTTAATGAGCCGAGTCGAGCCGAGCTTTGCCATAGTTCGGGCTCGGATCGTTAAAATAATCTCAAGCTCGAGCTCGGTTCGTTTAGGACACGAGCTTTGATGGGCAAGCTCGAGCTCGGCTCGTTTAGGACAAATGAAAGCTCGAGCTCGACTCGAGCTCGGCTCGGCAAATGAGCTTAACGAGCCACTCGAGCTCGGCTCGACAAATGTTCTTAACGAGCCAATATAGAGTTCAGCTCATAAAATGTTCCATGTAGCTAAAGATTGAGCTAGAACTCTGCTCAAAATTACATTCTAACATGTAGCATAGTCTAGCAAAATAAAACACATTCTGAATAGCAATTTCCATATGTACATCCTACTTAGACCATCGAATTTGACAAAAGCTGTTTGATGGTCCATCACATCTTTAAAAATACTAACTGAATTTAAACCTATTTGTGAACAAGTTGCGAAACTCTAAACTACCATAAAATTGGGAGTTTGAAACTCAACCGACAAGTCTCAAAATTCAAAAGAAAAGATGCATCAATCATCTTCAACACGACTCATCAGTTGTCAAGTCACATTCCCCTGCATAAAAGAAATATAAAGATATGAGAAATCCATTGTATCATCCAATTTTCTTAACTAATAAATCTGTATTTATGTTGATAACAGAACCAAAGACTCAAACTACATGCACTATAATATAAGGAAGCAATGTCTCTCCAATGAATAACAAAGATCAGCTGGAATTATTAAGAAATCATAAAAGTATTAGAATAGGAAAACAAGCTCACAGAATGGACAATGCTCTCCAATAAGAAAACAAACAGCAGCTGGAAATTATTATGAAAGCATAGAAGTAAGTAGTAACATAATATAAAAACATGTTGAGAGAATGGACAATGCTCTCCAAATAGAAAACAAACATCAGCTGGAATTGATTCAGAAACATAAGCAAACAAGACTAACCAAGGTTTTCTAGGCCAAGTCAATTTCGATAATATCTTCTTTCTTCGTCATAGCCTACAAAGACAAGAAATAGAGTCTTTATCAGATTTAATAACATAAAAACAATACATATCCAAACTTAAACATAAATTGTATACTTAAAATTCACCTCAAAATTTCCTTTTAAGACATGATGGGCTCTTAACCAATCATGAGAGCAAAGTAGAGCCTCAACAGACTTTTCTCCCAAGGATGCACGTTGAGGATCAATCACCCTTCCTCCAGCACTAAAGGTAGCTTCAGAAGCTACCGATGTAACAGGAATTGCCATAATATCGCAAGCCATCCTCGATAAAATCTTGAACCTTATCCTCTGCTCTTTCCACCAGCCAATGATATCAAACATCAACTCCTCAGTATGCACATAAAGACCTTCCTCAAGATAGATATCAAGCTCATATTTCATGGTAGAAGCAAAGTTAACATTTTGAATCATGGAATCAAACCTTGCTCTTCCACTTCTTTTCTTAGAATTTCCAATTGATGTACTAGCAGATGCAGCATTTTGATCTTCACAGGAGGCATTCGTCAGCGTAGGAAGGCTCCTTTAGATAAAGGTGGGGAAGCTTACACTTGATGCAACATTTCTAGCTTTGAAGTCCTCAATATACTCATGAAAAAACTTATAGAACTTATCTCGGACCAACCGAACATGCATCTCAGAATCTGCCGAAGTGTATAGATCTGGAAAATAAGCTTCAAGCATCTTGAATTTGTTCCTCGGATCCAAGACAACAGCAAGGGAAACCACCAAATTAGCCTCACCCCAATATTTATCAAACTTCTTAAGCATTCGGGAAGCCATAGACCTCATACTTGCATTGCTTGAGTTCAAAGTAGTTTTCAATAACAGTTTAATATCACAAAGCTCCGGAAGAAACATATTGGCAGTTGGATAATCACTTCCAGAGATCATAGTTGTGACATCATCAAACAATTCAAGAAAGTCGCACACATTTTTAACATCTTCCCAAGCATCCTCTGTTGGGAGAGAATGATACGAAGAGTCTCTTTCTTTGTACATCGGAAACACATCTTTCAACTCTAAGGTTGTAGATATCATGTGATAAGTCGAATTCCATTGAGTAGAACAATCTAGAACAAGCTTTATGGTAGGCAACTCGAGTTGCTTAGCAATATCCCGAAATATTGCAACTCGAACTTCAGAAGCAGCAATGTGCTTAACACTTTCTCTAACATCATTAACTATCTCTTGAATCTCTTTCAAACCATCTTGCACTAATATATTAAGTATGTGAGCACAACATCGGATATGAAACATTTCTCCGGCAAGAGGAAGTGCACCTTGATGACTAAGAATTCCTTTCAAATGCTTCAAAGCACTATCATTGTAAGAAGCATTATCTACTGTGATTGTCCACACTTTTTTGACTATATCCCAATCAACCAAACATTTGTGCAATGCATCAGACACAACAAGTCCAGTATGAGGTGGCTTAACATGGCAGAAATTAAGAACTCGTTTTTGCAGCACCCAATCATTGTCCACAAAATGACAAGTAAGAACCATATACTGCACAGTCTTATTAGACTTCCACAAATTTGTTGTTAAGCTCATCCTATTCACCCCTTCAAGAAGAGATTTTATCTTCCCTTTAAAGATCTTATATGTCTCGAAGACATCATTTGTAGCAGTGGTACGACAGATTTTTTTATAGTGAGGAGTGCATGCTCTAAGCAACTTATTCAACACTTCATACTCAGCAGCAACAAAGGGCTGTTCATGAACTATGATGAAATGAGCCATCAGTTCTCGTACCTTAGCCTGATCGTATTTGAAGTTCTGGACAACAAGGACACTATCATTATTTTCCAAGGTTAGATGTTGTTGTCCCCTCCCATCTGCTTTAGGCTTCCTTGTACATCTTTCTATATGCCGCAAGAATTGACTTGTACAACCTGATGCGCTTTTTAATAATCTCGTTTTACAATAGCGACACTCTAGCTTTTCCACCCCTTCCACAACAACTACCTTGAAGTCATTCCATGCTATTGAAGTCTTCTTCCGCTTTTTTCTTTCATAAGGTCGTGCTTCTTCTTCATTTTGATTTTCGGCCACTGGTTGAACTTGGCCCTGTGGTTGAACTTGAGCCTCCAAATGATTAGCAACCGCATCAACAACATTGTTATCAGCTGGCATCTCTTCTCCTGCCATTTCTTTAATATCCTGGACCACAAGAATAATGATTTTAATACTCATGTTACCACCACAAAATACTTTAGTTTCTTCCTTTTTTCATTGATGTCCCTGTGTTTATAGTACTTTAGTCTAAAATAAGAAGAACAACAAACCTAAATCTAATAAACAAACAAGAAAGGGGAACATCCTAAACTATTCAATTAAAAACGATTTAGGGATTGTCAAACAGAGTAAACAATTGACATAAGCAATTAATAAAATAGTGTAATACATTAAAGCAAACAGGGGCATAAGAATGCCCAACACATTGAATTGAAATCGTGTTACTCACCGATAGAGTAACAAGCATCGAAGATCTAGAATCTGCAACAGGGGAGATGAATGGAGGCGACTTTCGGATCTGCGATTATGGAAGCTGGATCTACAATTTCATATCTGCGATTTTCGGATCTGCGATCAGGGCTCTACGAAGCTTGAGGCTCTCGGATCTACAATGGTGGAAGTAAAGCGATGCAAGTAGCAGTGGAGATAAGTGACGTGAAAATCAAGGAGAAGAGTGAAGGAGGGATGTAGGATATGCGATCATTTGAGATGGAGGAAAGGAGGCGATTCTGGGTGCTAGGTCTCTGCTGTGACCTCAGAGAAGTGAAGCACATGAAATGAGGATGTGGGATGACATCAAAAGATTACTAGGGTTCTCAATTTTGAGTTTTGCCTACTTTTAGATTTTTGTTTAATGAGTGAGGAGGTTGGAGTAGGTTAGCTTTATTTTATTAATTAAGGGACGACGGTAGAGGAGTACTAGCTTAATAAAAATAAATTAGTTATATTTATTATGGGAAAGCACTCAAATTTTTGCCATATCAATTTTTGCCGCCGCCACACCGACACGTCCCTTTTTTCCTCTTTTTCATCGAGTGAAAGCACTCAAATGCAGCGATAATATTATCTGAGATGACCCGTCTGGAACAAACGCACTTTGGGAAGGATCAATAATTTTATCCAGGATCACTTTAAGACGATTTGCGAGAACCTTTGCCATCAATTTTAGAGGACATTGCACAAACTTATGGGCCTGAATTCTCCTGGTCTCGTAGGGGTTTTAACCTTTGGGATCAACACAATCAGTATCTCATTGAGAGATGTCGGAATTGAACCTCCCTCGATGATATTGAGAACAGTAGTTGTGACCTCGTCTCCAACAATCTCCCAATACCTTTTGAAGAAGAGGGCCGAAAACCATCTACTCCTTGGGCTTTACGGGACCCCATATGTTTCAACGCACCAAACAGTTCTTCCTTGGTGACAGGACACATCAACAACTCATTGTCCGCCGCACTGACCCTCGTCTCCACCGAATCCAGGACTGGGGAATTGGCTGGTGCCTCAGATGCTTTAAATAATTTCCTAAAGTAATTAATCAAGCATTCCGATGCAGCTTCAGTTGCTATGTACCACTGACCGTCATCATTTCTGAGTTTTTTTTTATAGTATTATGCTTGCGGCGAGCAGAAGCTTTCCTGTGGAAAAACTGCGTATTCTTGTCCCCACCTATTAGATAATCAACCCGAATTCTCTGTTCACAGTATTCCTCTTCATTCGCCTCCAACTCTTCTAGTTCCAATTCTAGCACCCTCCTTTGCTCGAGAACCGCATACGTCTTGTGGGCCATTTCAAGCATGCGAAGGGCTCTGGTGATCTTCCTTCTCTAGTGCCTAAAGTTTGGAAAGGACCTTTTGCTCCACTATCCAAGGAGGTCTCGGCATCGCTCCATTCTTTCAAAAGTACCAATCGCTCCCCCCAGCTGCCACACCTCCCTAATCACACTCGAAAATTCATCGTGTTTAGTCAAGATAGGGTCAAAACGAAAGGACCAGCCCCATGATGGCTCAACATATTCCTCTCCCAAGCTGTCACAAATGATCGGCCTGTTATCTGATCTTAGTTTATCGAGGTGGAGGAACTCGTACATTCTGAAACTTGTCCCTCCATTCATCCGACCCCACAAGCCTATCCAACACTTCCTCGATATAACCACCTTGTTGTCGCGAATTCTCCCAGGTGAACTTATAACCTTGGAATCCTAAGTCTTGCAGTCCCCCCTCCGTTAGAAAATCATTAAAGGCGCCCATATCAGCTACACTTGGACTGTTTCCTCCAACCTTTTCCTCATTCGTCCGCATCTGGTTGAAATCACCTCCGCATAGCTACATACCTTCCCATTGCCCTGCTAAATGTCGAACAAGCTCCCAAGTCCTCCACTTCTCACTTCCCTCCAGCCACCCGTAGATACCTGAGAATATCCAAGTGACATATGTATCATTGACAATTTTACTATCAATGTGGTGAAGTGAACCAGACATAACCGTAACTTGCAGCTCTTCCCTCCACCACAAACACACACCCCCTGCCCTGCTTCGTGGGGTAATAATTGACGACCAGCTTTCGCCATTCTCGAAGCCAAGCTCCTTTCGAGTTTCTTCATTCTCTTTCTCTGTCTGTTTCGTCTCCATTAAGAAGACGATATGAGGGGAAGTTTGTCGCAATAGTGACTTCAAAGATCTAACTGCGCGTGTACTCCCCAAACCACGACAGTTATAGCTTAGTAGTCGCATTAATGACCCAAAGGGGATCATTTCCTCGGACCATTCAGATTCTTATTTCCTTTTTTGTCCTTTCCAAGCTTTATCTCATTAGCATGAGCAGGTCTAGCATCCGCTGGATTAGCCTTGAGATTTAACTGTGTTTGTTTATCCTTCTCCACCTCTCTGCCCGACCTTAAGTCATGTGCATTCTTTTCATTATTTCCCGAAGTAACCACTCTTTTTTCTTGTTGGTTCTCCTGGCTCTTCTTTCCACCCACCTTCTTCTGTCCCTGTATTTCCATGTGCCTGTTACCACTCGGAACTTCCGTTCTCACTACTGTCCCCTTACTCCCTACCGCTTTCTTTTCCTCGTTGTCACCAGTTTCTTCAGATAGAACTTCGTACTGAATCCCAGAAGCTTTGCGTGGGACATAGGTATTATTCGCATTGGAAGGATTCATGGAAGGTTTTCTATTTTTCCGCTTCGCGATCATCCATTCTCCATACAACGGGGGCTTTTGGTTAATCTCCTGGTCACCCACAGTCGCCATAGTCTCCACCGCCTCTTGGACAGTTTCCATTGCGGTCGGAAGTTTGCATGAGCAAGCGCTTGTCTTTGCCCCATACCTTCCACAGTCGAAACAAACATTGAAAAGTCCCTCATAAGTGATCATATACTCCACACCCTCCACTTTATATTTCGATAGGAGTGGTCTTGTTAAATCAACCTCCACGCAAACTCGAGCGTAATTCATGCTTGCTCCCTCTAACGTAGCTCTATCCACTCTAACAGGTTTGCCAATGTGTTCAGCAATACGCATGACCGCCAATTGATTGAAGAACTCTGGTGTGAGATCAGGCAGTTGAACCCAGACCATGGTCGACTTTGCTTCTGCTTTCCAGGGATTAAAACCCCTGTACCACCTGTGGACAGTCAAGTACGTTTCACCCAGTAACCACGGTCCCCCTTCAACCGCCCATTCGTAATCCTCCTTCTTTCAAAACCTGACCAAGAAGCAACCATTCTTCATGTCTGATATTTGGGGGTCTCCGTTTCGAGCCAACAAATAGTTCAATCGTTTAGCAAGAGGAAGGTATGAGACTTTCCTACCCAGCCCTTTCACCACTAACGCTGAGCGCCATTCCCTCCTCATCGAGCATTTCTCAGCCGTCGTAAAAGCCACTGTCGGGCTAGCTGGGTCCTCTTCCTCCCCGATAATCAGATCATTCTCTTCCTTTTCAGATGCCGCTATATCTTCCGAATCAGAATCGGCTACATACCAGCCTTCATCTTCCTCAATACCAGCAAAGAGCCGTCTCCCGCTCCTCCAAGCTCCACGAGCTGTCCCAGCCTCAAACATGGGTTCGTTCGTTGAGCAGCTTTGAGGTTTCCCTCCCGGAGCCGAAGTTCCGAAGCGTTAGTTGCTGCGCATGTCCATGCCTCTAACCCTCTTCTTTTGTTGTTGCGCCTCAGCATCTCCCTTACCATTCGGTGATGAGATCCAGTAGGTGGGCGACGGGTTCTTGCCACATTATCAGGAGGTTTTGACGCTGGCATGGGCATCTTGTGCGGCGGCACCGCCGCCGCCATGGCAAAACCCTAGTCGCAGTCGCAGGAAAATTTTCCTTCCGAAAAACTCTAAGCTCTTAAAGTATTTTGTTTATAGCGCTGGAAGTTGAGTAGGAGTATTTGGGATATTGATGTATCAAATTCATTACTATTTGAATTTATTGAATGTCGAGTTATTGTTTAGGGATTGAGATTATTTTTCACTGTTATCACCATTTAGGATTACGACATTGAGAAATATTGATAATTTACAATTAATAGATTAAAATACATAGCTTCTGCCTTCTGGTTATTTCTCACTCTTTGACAACTCACAAGCCCCTATCTAACCAAGTTTGGTTTTCCAGATTTTAATATCTCACTTTATTCTCTCGGTATCTGTAACATCCCGTTCCGGCAAAACCCATATTTCGATCGCTAGAAAATTTTACGATTTAAAATTGATCATTTTGACAGTATTTCGACAAAAAATGGATTATCGATCGATCGGATAAGTATACATATTAATTATATATATATATATATGGGTCAGACTGGTGTACGTCGGTCGTATACTATACGTTAGGTACTACTAGTGAGATATATGTATCTAGACCATGAATTAAATCGAGTTTGGAGTATGATACTATACCCTAACCTCTAATGGATAAACCCCAGCCACCGATTTTCTAAACCCCAACCCGAATTTTGATTTAATGAAAAATAAAAATTGACCGTCGAGATCGGCCGGAGCTCATCTAAGTACATCTAACGGTTAGATCACCTGACCTATAGTATACGCCTGACGTGTATATATATATATATATATATATATATATATATATATATATATATATATATATATATATATATATATATATATATATATATATATATATATCGAGACATTTAATTCCCTCCCCGTCTCAACTTTCCAGAAACCATTCCACTTCTTCTTTCCATTTTTCTGGACCAAGAAGCAGAGGCGCACAGGGCATCGCGGGGGGAAATTCCAAAGCTCAATTCTTAGCTACACTGATCCAAAAATCTCGGAAGCAATGCCTAATTCATCTATATATCGTGATTTATCGATTTAGGGCTTTAAAACAAGTTTTTGGTTCAGGAATTTCTTGAATTCCCGATAAGCCAAATTAGGGTTTCGGAGTATCCGAAAGCCGGATGGAGCCCAAATTTCATATACGAGCTTCCTGCAGCGAGGTAATCAATCCTCTAGTTCTAATCCCTGAATTTCGGCAATTATTTAGGCCGGGGTCCAAACCGCTGAATTTAGCTCCGGCCAGGGTTTGACGTGTTTTTATTGAGAATTTGACCCGGAGCCTAGAACTAATATTGACGGGGATACTGCAGGGGATATTAGGACGGTCTCGGATTTTAATTCGGGGTTCGTTCGTGAAATTGACATTTTAGTACGGGAGGCTAGAACCGGTGTTTGAACGACCAGATCTGGTGAGGGATTAGCACGGCATACCGGGTTTGTCGTATCACGATAATTATATTGATGCTTAGAATTGACCTAGGTGAACTAGAATGGCATGATTAAGGGTGTATGAACTTTTGTGCTATATGATGAACCCTGGACTGTTGTATGATATTATTGACTTGCCCTAGCCGATATGGACCTTGTTTATGTTGATGATTGCATACATGTTGCCATTTGTGGCTTAACCGTTGATATGACTTCATGGTTGTTCGATCAGGTGTTTTGACATGATGTGATATAGTGGTTGTATTTGGATTCACAAGTGGGGGAAATAAACTTCCAGGGTGATATTATGATGTTTAAGGAGGATGACTTGCACGAGGGTTTATCCCGAGGAAGTGCAATTATACGACTCCTGGTTTACCTATGTTGAGCCAATTATGGCCAGGTCAAGAACATGTCCAAGTAATGAATTATGATTAAGCAAGGTGAGATATGGATCATGTATAAGGATATCAAGTAAGAGTACTTTGGTCTCATGGTCAACTACATAGTAATTAGCGCTCCCTATGCTATTACTCTATTATGATATGTATGATAGTCACACCTCTCATGTGGTGGTGACTGAAGATTTCTTACGAGATATGACCACACCCAGAGCGGTGTCGGGGTATGACTACACCCATAGTTGTGTGAGGTATGTATGACCACATCCGACGGGATGTTGGGGTATGTATGACTACATCCGACGGGATGTGGAGTATGTTTCCCGGGAGAGTTATTAGCATGGGAGTAGCCAGGCGCCTATAAGTAAAACATGATAAGATGCATATGCATAAGTCAAGGTGGTTGAGTCTTTTTCCTATTGGGATGTCGGAGGGTTGAGATCTGATCCCAGTGTTTTGGCTTGTTTGCTAGATGTATGGTAGGGGTATGCTGATTATGAACTCACTATGCGATGATTATCTCACTCAGCCATGAGCTGACCCTCTTTTATTCTTCTTCTCTGCTTATGATATGTGTAAGCAGATCATCAGCAACATCAGTAGATAGGTGTATAGGTGGGAGCTGAGCAAGAGTTGAAGGCAAGATGAGGTATGATCTTCAACTATTGTGTGCTTGGACTACTACTCGAGATTTTGGTCAGTGATCCACACCTTTTCGTAAAAATGTTTTGAGAACGTTTTTCATGTGCATACTAACTTCTGATGTAGTGTGAGATATCCACAGTTGTGGAAAGTTGATGATATGTGTATATTGTGTAACTGGGTAAGTAGTGATAGTTATAGCATGTATCAATATAGTATGCAGTTGTGTAACATGAAACTGTGACTATGGCTAGGAAAAGCTAACGCATATGGTTGTGAGTAATTTTATTTGTCTATGAATGTATGGATTCAGATGAATTATTTTGCAGGATAAGTTGCAAGAACGGTTAGCCCATTACGTGAGTAATTCATGTCGAAATTTTATTTGGGTAAATTTTGATAATTAATGTAACACCCAAGATTAATTTCGCTGCAATTGTATGAACAATATGATTAGGCAAAACGTATAGGGTAGGGTGTTACAATATCCCTTTCTTTTCCAAATATTTTTTCGAATACGCTTTTTTGATATAGAAGTACGCTTTTTTGGAACTACCATTTAAAAATAAAGAGGTTTTTTTTAGTGTTCTCGTTGGATGTGAAAGACATCTATTGTTTAAAAATCGTTCAGTACTATTCATTATCTATGTATTTACTCTCTAACCCATCTTGCGTCATAAGAAAGAAAAAAAACGTATACTTAAGGTTTCTCTTTCTGTCTTTTTTGCTGATACTAGATTAATATCTCGATGGCGAGAGTCCGGTGTCGACCAGAAGAATCGAAAATTTGCCCCAATTTTTTTGGTACCTAAACTTTTAGCGGATGGCTGTGTAACACCAGACTTTGATTAAATTTTGAATACGGACCAGATTTTTTTTTAAAAATCTTTTGCTATTTTCATAACACCAAAAGCGCAACCTCATTAATGGTCTATCAACCTCCAATCCATCGAATCAAAGATATCAAGGATAATAATATTATAATATACAACCTTCCCCTTTTCCTTGCTTGAGATTTCGGAAAACTCAATATCATTTGTTTAGTCTCTTAACCCAAAAGGAGAACCTGTGATGAATCAATCCATTCAATTGAAACTTCGCTTGAATCCATTCAATAGGGAGTTTGATTAGCTTTTATAGACTTTTCTCGTCTCAACTTCCCATCACCAATATTTTTAATCATGAAATTAAACCTACAAGCATGTACCATATAAAAATGATCGAGATTAGAGGTGTCCAAACTATTATATTTTTTCCATATATTTAATTATTAATTAGAAGATAATTAATTTGAAATACTGAATTTAATTTGTGATTGTGATTGATTTTAGTGTATTATTCGATATTTGGTGCCGGAGTATCGATACGGTGTTACCGACCGATTTTCACCTCTGCTTGCACTTTGGCGAGGGTATAGGGATAGAGTTTAAGCCATGAGACCTAAGAACACAATTATGTACATAACCAATGTTTATTATGGGGAACTATCAACTCAAAATTATGGTTCTTGTACATTAAGACTCATTTGCTGAGGAAGCTGCCCATGGAAACAAGTTGCATCTCCCAGCCATGAACTCTTGCGGTCTTGCCTCGTGTTTGAAAAGCCAAAGAACACTAATAGAGTTTACAAATAACTTGTTCCTTTTGTTTCATCCCATTTGGTAGTCTCACATCGAGAATTTCCCTTCTGTTTCTACACTTTGTTTCCAAGTTTTAAAATTATTAATTGATTTCATCCTTATATTAAAAAGATTTCGAAGGTTTTGGTTCGTGTTCTCTTGGATGCTTCATCATAATGGTTACTAGCAAAAACCCACTCGCTATTGCTTTGCGTATCACAAAAAAAAAATATTTTAAAAAGTTATAGTTTTCATGTTGACCCAAAAGTGAAAGTAAACTTATTTCATTCTTAATCATTCTTTTCATAGGTTTGTTATTTACAATAGCATATGGTCGATGAACTTGCACAACGTAAAAGGGTCGTCGAATAGATTATTTATGTTATAACTTCTTTCCTGACGCTAATATTTCAATTCGCATGACTTTCTTTTTTTTGGGTTTGAGGTAATCGTGGTTCTCATTTATGAAATTTTTGGACTGATTGCAGGTTTGAGGAGGTTCAACTCGCATTGATCGGGTCAAATTAGGTTGGATACCTATGGATTTGGGTTCAATTGTCTTTCTCAAACAAAAGGAAAAAACTAAAACTCGATACCGACTCAAAACTCATCAACACCAGTTTCAACTCGCTTTGACCTGGTTGGACCGAGTTTTAGACAAATTCACACCTGACGCAACACACCAATTATATAAAAAAAAACTCGCTCCAGCCGAAAACCTGTAAAATCGGGTTCAAGTCGCTTTGGTCGGGTCGAATTAGATTGTATACACATTCATTTGGACTCAATTGTCATTCTCAACCAAAAGGGAAAAGATAAAAAAAAATACTAAAGTGGCTAAAACTCGCTCATGACCCCAAACTCTCAACACTGTGTTCAACTCGCTTTGACCAGATCGATCCACTTTTAACAAATTCACAATTTACCAAACTTGTCAATTACAAAAGCGGATACGACTCGCTCTCGATACGAAACGCGTCAACGATGGGTCAGAGTTTAATTGTCATTCTCAACGAAAAGGAAAATGAGAAATAAAATAATTAAAGTACGTACAAAGCTCGCTTCGATCTAAAGCTTGTCAACAACGTGTTCAACTCGCTTTGAACGGTTTTTTAACAAATTAACATTTGGTCCAACCTTCCAACTTCAAAAGCGGATAAAACTCGCTCACAATACAACACTCATCAAAACCTTAGATTCGGGGCTCAATTGTCTTCCCAACCAAAAGAAGAAGAAAAAAGAAATTTATAAATGCTAAAGTCGGTTTCACGTCGCTTTGACTGGATCGAATTAGGTTGGATACACTTGAATTTGGGTTCAATTGTGATCATGCTCAACAAAAAAAAGTAAAAAAAAAAAAAACACTAAAGAGTATGAAACTCGGTCCTGATACACAACTCATGGTAGTGGTCTTGGGAAACGAGGGGGGGGGGACAACTTAAGATTCCGCCGACAGTATTTCGAGATGGGCCGCAAAATGATGGGCAAATGCGATAATTTGTGCAAAAAGCCATAGAGACAAAAACCTAGCGAACAATAACAAAACACTGAAGAGGAGGCCATGGCGGCGGCAGACTTCTTCATGGAGGAAACACGAGGAAGATTTGAACTCAGCGGAGCCCGACAATGCAAAAAGGGATGCAGGGATACACACCAACGATAGCTTGGGATCCAACTATGTTGCGGAAGGTGACGGCGAAAACGTAGCGAACAATAACAAAACACTAAAGATGACGAAACTCGGTCCAGATACAAAACTCGTGGTAGCGGCCTAGGGAAACGATGATGGGGAAAAACTTAGAATTCTATCGACAGTATTTCGAGATGGGCTGCAAAATGGTAGGCAAAGGCGATGATTTGTGTTCAAGTTAGGATACCCATTTGTTTGGGTTCAATTGCGATCATGCTAAACAAAAAGAAAGAAAACAGAAAGAAAAAAACACTAAAGAGTATGAAACTCGGTCCCGATACAAAACTCGTGGTAGCGGCCTTGGGAAATGGTGGTGGAGAACAACTTAGGATTCCGCCGATAGTGTTTCGAGATGGGCTGCAAAATGGTGGGCAAAGGTGATGATTTGTGCAAAAAACCATAGACGAAAACCTAGCAAATAAAAAAAAACAAAGGCGATGATTTGTGCAAAAAGCCATAGACAAAAACCTAACGAACAATAACAAAACACAAAGGCGATGATTTGTGTAAAAAGCCATAGACGAAAACATAGCGAACAATAACTAAACACAAAGGTTGTAGAATGGAGAGTGGGGGTAAAAGAAAGACTTGGAACTTCCCCACTTGCACTTGGAGGAGTGTGAGAGCCACTAATGAATAGTAACTCCCATGTTAGGCTTTATATATTAATGCCTTATGCGGTTTGGATTAGTTTGATTAGGAATGTTACACAATTATCTTGTTAGTGTTGTAATCGATAATCGAATTGGTAATCGGTGGTTAATGGTTATACTGATAATCTATTAAAAAGTAAATTGTCGGTTACCTTTAATTAAATTTAGCTAATTAATACCGACGGTTAAACAGTTAACCGACTAACCGATTACGCTCATTCTCACAGTTAGGACCGATAATCATGTCCTCAATGAGCCGTAGACATATACGAAAACAATGAGATGAGTATGGATATGTGGTGGGAGAGCCTAAAACAATACATTTCTCATCCCCATCTAACTTTTTGCTAGTTTTACCTTTTTCTTGTTCCATACCTAGTCTACAGAGATTTCAAGCATTAATTGACTGGGTTAGAGGGATCGTCGGGTACCCATAATTACGGGTTTGATTGTCATCCAAATCCCTAGTAGCAAATAAAGACTCATCAAGAAGTGAGCTGATATTTTATTTCCTTACTTAACTAAGTTGGTAATTGAGTACCCGGCAATTCCGGGTTCCTGAGATCGAATCAGCTAAGCCCTAGGGACTTAGGTATGTTTTGGTGAGTTGGTTCATCCCCAATTCCCCATCCAGCTATCAAGATCCCTATCTATCTGCGTTGACCAAGCAATTATCGGATGATCAACACAATATTATTTTTTTTTATAAGAAAAGTTTGTTAGAACCATACCAATCCACGATCCATATCCATCCCACTCAACACGCAAATTTCCACTTGGGAGTCCTTCTTCTAAAATGACCTAATAGATGGTGATGTGCCCCACATGGGAAGGGCACAGTCTTTAACTTGAATATGAAAGGTTTTGGAGTTGCAGGCAGCAGGTCAACCACTACCTTAGGGATGACACCATCTCTTCTCTACTACTTAATTGTGCTGCTCTTTCCCATGCATTGTATGTATATTTACTTCATCATAATCCTTTTGATCTTTTCTTTCACTTACTGTCTGTGTCAAGTAACAGACCATTGTCGTCAATTTTTCGAGTACTTTAAACCACTTTGATTTTGACAAGGCCAAACTATAGAGAGGTTGTTGACATGGTTGTTTGTCTGTTCGTTCGTTAGGTGGTTTGTTACTTATAGGTGGTATGTACGGTTGGTCTGGTTTGAGTAGAAACTTTGAGTAGATTAAAAGTTTAAATTTTGGGTGGAATTGAGGAGATTGAGGCCAATTCTAATATAGAATGGTGATAGTAGTAAATATATTATCCGACTTCAACTTAAAAGTGGAGGATAATAACATGACAGAACGTATAATGAGTGGAAAATTGTCAATTTTATCTGAATCTAATAATCTCTTTTCAACTGCATTTGAAATCTCATTACTCATAAAAATTTGAAAATCAACATACATTAGAAATTTTGTATTGTTTATCTAATCACATCATAACATGGTTAGATGTTTAGTAATCTGGTGGATGATTAACAAATGTGTCACTCTTGCAATTCATCTTTCTTCTCGCAGATCTTTCGCGTTCCTTTTGTAGTGATATTTATATTCACATAACCGAATAAATGCCTAATGATGTAAACAAAATTGAGCATCAAACCTGTCCTTTGTAAAAAAGGACCTATCCTTTTCTATTCACTAACATATTTAGTATTTACAATGGCTTGCACTATCACATATATATTTCCTTTCAAGTGAAACCCATGAATTTCCCCCCTTCTAAACTCAATGATTTAAAAGACTGGAAATGCTGGAGCTAAAAAAAAATTGAACACATGGAATGTTTGTAACGAAATAATTGCTACACTCTAACGAGGTTTTTGAGATCCTAATTCCTAAGCAAATAATTAACTTCCTCTCCTTCATTACATTGCATCAATCATTCCAAATCTCTATTATTATCCCAAACTCAAAATCAAATGCCACCTCGACAATTAATAACTAAACCCCTTTGTTTTGCCACTACTTCTCCACCAAACAGTACGTTTTGGATCACCAAATATGCTAACTACTACTCTAATCCCCAACCAACAACTCTCTCTGCATGCCGTATCTTTTTTGCCGTTTCTTTTCTCAACTCCGTCAACTCTCTTCGATGTATAAGTACCACCTCCTCTGTCTCTGAGTTCTCCATCTTACAAATCGAAAAGCAACAACCCAAACAAGTAGAAGCAACAACAACAAAAAAAGACGACATGGCAGCCATGGCCGGTCCTGTTCTTCTATCCTTCCTAATGATCTTCTCCATCCTTTCTTCCTCTGTTAGTTCCCTTAGCCTGAACTACTACGACAAAACTTGCCCCAACTTCGAGTCAGCCGTCACCAATGCCGTCCAGAAAGCCATGAAGAATGACAGGACTGTCCCTGCCGCACTTCTTCGGATGCACTTCCACGACTGCTTCATTAGGGTATGTGAGAAAAGTAGAAAACCCTTTTCGTCTTTCTTTCTTTCTTTGCCTTCGTTAAATCCTGACATATGATGTTTAGTGTTAAGGTTCGAACTAACCCTTTTTTTTATATATATGCTGGATTTGAAGGGTTGCGATGCCTCTGTGTTGTTGAAATCAACCAAAAAGAACGTGGCAGAGAAAGATGGGCCGCCGAACATCTCACTCCACGCATTCTACGTAATCGACCATGCAAAGAAAGCTGTCGAAAAAATGTGCCCTGGAGTTGTTTCTTGTGCTGACATCCTCGCTTTGGCCGCCAGAGATGCTGTTGCTTTGGTAAGTAGTTGTTCACTCATATTATCAGAGTGGCGCAGCGGAAGCGTGGTGGGCCCATAACCCACAGGTCCCTGGATCGAAACCAGGCTCTGATAATTTAAATTGTTTTTGTTTTTGTTTTTTTAACAGTCCGGAGGTCCAAATTGGGCAGTCCCTAAGGGTCGAAAGGACGGGCGAATCTCCAAGGCCATCGAGACCCGACAACTCCCGGCTCCAGTCTTCAACATCTCCCAACTCCAACAGAGCTTCTCCCAGAGGGGACTCTCCCTAGAGGACCTCGTCGCCCTCTCGGGAGGCCACACTCTGGGGTTCGCCCACTGCTCGTCCTTCCAGAACAGGATCCACAACTTCAACACCAGCATCGACGTGGACTCGACCCTGAGCCCGTCGTTCGCGGCGAGCCTCAGGAGGGTCTGCCCCTTGCACAACAAGGCCAGGAACGCCGGGTCGACCATGGACTCCACCACGTTCGGGTTCGACAATGTCTACTACAAGATGTTGCTCGGTGGGAAGAGCATCTTCTCGTCGGACCAGGCTTTGCTAACCAACCCTAAGGCCAAGGCTCTGGTCCAGAAGTTTGCCGCGTCCGAGGCCGAATTCGGCAAGGCGTTTGCTGCTTCCATGGTTAAGATGAGTAGTCTTACTGGTGGGCAGGAGGTTAGGCTTGATTGTAAGGTTGTGAGGTAGATTTTTTTTATATTTAATTAATTTCGGTTTTTTATGGGTTTGATTAAGTTGGGTCCTTGGGCAAGAATTTGGTTCATCTTGGTGGGTTTGAGTGACTACATTGGTGTTGAGTTGATGGGGTAAAATGTAAAATTTGGGCAGTCAAATTGGGCGCCAGGAGAGAGTTGTGGGTTTGTTTGTCAATGTGATTTATTGGAACTCATTTTTATGTTAATAATAATTAGTTGGATTGTGATTGCGAATTTGATGTCATATGATCCCATATGTTTTCTTTATTGTTATCACTTCTAATGCACGATTTTATCATTAAGAAAGTTGCATGGGTTAGGAGTGCTAGCTATAACTAATTTCAGTTGACTTGGATGAGAGTGACTACAATGATTACAATTAATAATCAACCTATGAAGTATCTAACATAATTGCACTTTTGAATTACGATTAAAGCCTTGATGAAAGTGAAAATAGAAAACATATCGTCCCTTGATGGATTAAGTGAAAACAAAAAAAATTGGTCATCAGAATGATCGAATTGGTGTTGACATATAATGACACAACTAATCATGTTCAAAAATAATGCAACCAACAAATATATTCTATTCTGCCTAATATATATAGTAAAGGGTGGAGACTCCGAAAACTAATGAGTTTAAACTTTGATTAACCCAAATTGTATGCTCGTATATTACTAATTTTAGTTTCACCGATTAGAGTAGCTTCTTTATCGTGATTCATGAATGACCCTAATCTTTAGAACTTAGAAGCCAAAACTATTAGTGACTTAAGGGATTGCAATAACAATACATAAAATACCTATGATTTTACTTTCTCGATCACTATTCATTAGAGCAAACTATACGAACAAGAACACATTAAAAAATGCAAGTGAGAAAAACATTATAATCATATTCAAGAAAGGAACTTTAACAAACATAACTCTAACATGTATTCAACAAATACGACTCTAACAATTACAACTTTCAAACGACCCATTTTATAAAAGTTGAAATACGAGATGAAAAAAGATGTCTAAATACATTTTTTTTTCTACGGAAACAATGTAAAATCTAATTGATAAAGGAAGCACTGTAAAGATCAATTAGTGAGATTTTTGGACTCCGACGTGTCATGACTCATGTGCTACTAGAGGTGTCAAAACAGAACCCGACCCGACTAAACCGATTCGCAACCTGACCGCAACCCGAATTGACTAAAAGTCAATGACCCGCAACCAGCCCGACTCGCAACCCGATTGACCCGTGACCCGATTAACCCGTAACCCGACTAACCCACAACCCGATTGACACGTAACCCGATTAAACCCGTAGCCCGATTGACCCGAACCCGATTGGCCCGAACCCGACTAACCCGTAACCCGCCCGATTGATCCGAATAATTACTATATTATATATTATGTAGTCTTTGAAATGAAGTTTGTTTGTTGTAAGTCTAAGTAAAACTATTTTTTCATTTTATAAAGGAAAGTTCAAAAAATTAAATTGAATTGAAATTATGCATTTTTAATAAAAGAAAGAAGGGAAAGTTTTGGCGTTTTTAACTTCTAGAAAGAGAAAAAAGTGGAAAAGTTTGTGTTTTAAATTTTTTTGGTGATATGGTTTATAGGAAGAGAAAGAAGTGAGAAATTTTGGTTAGGGATATATGGTAGCATATCATAACTCATAGGGATGTATAGTTAGGCTATTCTCCTACCTTCTAACTGGCCATTCTCTATTACTCGCTGACGGTTTCCTTTGCCCACAACAACTCGCCAGACGCTAAGCCAACAATCTTAACCCTTGCCAAAAAAAACGCACCCACAGTTCTTTGAAACCCAACAATAATCAAAATAAAAAACCACAAATCTTCTTTCACAAACCTAGCAATCAAAATCAAAATGCTACAACGCTTCTTTCACATACATAGGCAATCAGAACCCCTGCTAGAAAATCCAAACCCCAAACCCCCAATGGAAACCTCGTGAACCCCAGAAATTGCAACCCCCCAAACCTAGCAACTAGAACCCTTTGAAACCCAGAAATCGGAGACCCCCAAATCCAAACCCATAAAATTGGAAACCTAGCATTTAAAACCCTTTGAGCACCACACGTCACCGTCATCACCGCTCGTCGGCGCCCGCTGCAATTGCTCCGCCTACAACAGCCATGCAGCTCGTAGATCTGTGAAACTGGAAGGCGATGCCAACGAAGGGAAGCTAGGCGACGATGAGCCGAAGAAGTCCCTATCGCCGCTATTGGTTTTGGAGGGAATTTTCGGACATCAGGGGTGATTCTCGTACAAGTGAAGGTGAGCCAGAGAAGTCCCTGTCGTCAGAAATCTCCTTCATCTATCCCAAGATCGTTGACCATCGCGTTCAATCCATAAAAATTCAACAGAAGAAAAACCTAATTAGAATTTAGAACCCAAAACAGCAAAAAAATAACCACAGAAAATCACTTAATCAGAAATGATGTCCTGAATTTTACCATTGAATTTGAAGGCACTGGTCATCATCCACCATCATCGTATCCAATGTAGCGAAGGGACCTTCGCTTCCTTCTTTCCGGTGAGTGGCGACTATGAGCTGAGTGGGGCTTTGCCGGAGGAATGGGCTGAGCGGTGACTGTGAAGAGAGAAGAAGGAGGTGATAGTCGAGGAATGATAAGAGGGGAACCTTGGTTCTCTGTTTTCATGACAGAGTGAGTGTGTGGCTAGATGGGATGAAGAAGGAAATAAATACATTTAAAGGGGTGGGTTAGATTTTTTTTGGGGAAAATTTTCAATTGATTGAAGAAGGGGTAGATTTGGGCGGTGGTCAAATTTTGGAGAAATTTTTCAATGGTTGCTGGTTGGGGGGAACTTTTGGCGCCAAGGGAATTTTTGGCAGTAAAGGGATACGACTTAATCAGTTAATTTGATTGATATTGAACACTTTTTTAGTGAGATATAAGGAGCGCTTGTATTTGTCTATTTTTTATCCAATTTTTTTTTAGATTCTTTTATATTATTCAAACTTATTAAAATGTTATTAATTAGCCAAATCTTTGGTAATGCATCAATGATTTTGTAACTCTTTTCTTAGTTAAAATACTAAAATTTTGAAAAGTTGACATTAATGTGTCTCTTCCAAGTCGGTGTATAGGCCATAGGGTATATGGTTAGGTTTAATGAGTTAGAGTATAAGGTATTAATGGTTTAGCCAAGACTAATCAACATCATAACTAATAACTAATAAGGATCAAATTTTTTATTAACGTATGTTGATGAATCAAACCGTTAAGGTTTTAGTGTATAGACTATAGAGTGAGGGTATAAGGTATTAATGGTTTAGCCACGGTTAGTCCACATCATTAACTAATACCTAAAACGGATAAAAAATTTTATTAAAATATATGTTCATGAATCAAACCATTAAGAGTTTAAGGTAAAGACTATAGAGTCAGCGTATAAGATATATGTATAGGGTATAAGGTATTAGGGTGTAAGTTTGACGGTTCATTGTTTAGGGTATAAAATATATGGTTAGGGTATAGGGTATAAGGTACAGATGGTTTAGAGTGTATATGGTTAGGGTATAAGGTATTGATGGTTTTGACGGTTCTAAGTTTTTTATTAACATATGTTCACTTGAAGTCATTTAAAATATTTAACGGCAAGAGACCCTTTTAAATTTATGTTTATGGTACATGGTTAGGGTACACGGTAATGGTGTAGAGTATAAGATATATTGTTAGGTATAGCAAATATCATTTTTTATCTATGTTTTGAAAATCAAAGTATGAATTTCACTTTAAATTAACTATACTAGCAAAATCACAACTCATAGGGATATATGGTTAGGGTATAGGGTATGTTGTTAGTGTATAATATATTGATGGTTTAGGGTGTACGATCAACAATATATATTAATTTAATATTGCCGATTGAGAGTAAGGCTGAGTGTATAGGATATATGTTATTGAGTAAATTATGATTGAAGTCACAACAGTTTTACATGGTTATTCTAAAGGAGATACTATAATCCAATTACTACTGAAATAATATTAAAATACCAAATAAATAATTAATGGTGTCTTTTGGTTGCAAATGTTGATATAACCATTACTATTAGCTAGTGTACTTTACCAATTACGATTAATTACATAACAAGTTTGCAAGTCATATAAATTGATTCAACATTTTGACTAGTTTTTTTAAAATTATGTATATATACGAGGTAGAAAGAAATTGGTTAAAAATTGGGGAAAATATTTTAAATTAGTGTAATAAATTGTGTAAGTTGGTAACGAGTAATGAGTAAGTTACGCGATGCGCTGACCCGAACAACCCGCAACCCGATCCGCCCGCAACCTGCCCGACCCAAAACCCGATGAACCCGTAACCCAATTTGCCCGCAACCCGATTGAACCCGAACCCAATAAACCTGCAACCCTATGAACCCGCAACCCGTTTGAACCCGAACCCGATTGAACCCAGCCCGAACCTGCCCGATTGACTCCTAGTCTCGTTTCATTGTTTGGTTAATTTTTTCTCTTTTAGTAACGGAACCCCAATCATCAGAATTCAGAAGCTTCTTTTCGGCCCAATTGTCTTTGATAATCACTGATTACTAAGCCTAGTTTGCCACAGTCCAATTTGGGCCTGTGCTCTAAACTCGGCCCAAGTTCAATGTCCAGAAACCCAATCTAGTTTCACAAAACCGGGTCGGGGCGTTAAAAACCAAAATGCGAAGAAGAGGGAGAAAGATCCGAACTGCGCAGCCGTCAGCCGTCGGAGTAGTAACTCTCGAAATGGAACTGGACTAAAGACTCGCTTCATATTTCCAGCCTTTTCCACGACAACCGCTAAAACCCAAGCTCGCATTCGTCTTTCCCTTTCATCCGTTGGATTCGATGGCCGACCACACAGTTCAAGAATCCAACGACCCAGAGAAACAGGGGAAACCCGAGTTCCTTCTTCCCGTTGAAGACGAAGGAGAACTGCGGAAACTGCTGGTACCCGACCCGGAAAATCTCCCCGCCACTCCTTCTTCCGCCGTCGAAACCAACTTCGTCTCCTATTTCGCGCCAGGTTTGTCTTAATTGATTAAGTTTTCCCCTCTTTTTTTTTTACTGGTAATTGGGTAATTTTTCATTTGGGGGGTTTGTCCACAGATTTTACGAAGCCAGGGCACGACCAGTACGTTTACAGACATGCCAATGGGTAACCCATGATTCCACTCAATGTATACAGTAAAAGGGTTTTTGTTTGTTTGATTTTTGGTTTTGAGCTCTGGAATCCTACAGGCTGTGCGTGGTTGGCTTGGCGCCGGGCCATTTGGCGTTTAAGGATGAAGGAGGGATCACCGCCGTCGATTTCAACGTCGGCAAGTCGGATCGGAGCGGTATGAAGGTCACTGGGAAACGCAAAAAGGTTACAACTTTGTGCATAAGGAGTTGAATTTCCATTCTGTACAGAGTTCTTTCTGGACGTGTGTTAATTGAATGTTGTTTTCTTGTGGCAGAATGCCCAGCATTTTGAGTCCAATACAGCTATATGTAAAGTTAACACAAAAGCGGATTCCTACATCGTGAGGTTAGAACTTATTAGATCTTGTTTTGTTTCCTCAAATTATAAAGATTTTAAGTTCTTCTGTTGATTAATGCTTGTTATGATCAGGTGTTGTGTGAAAGGGTCATTGTTGGAAGTGAATGACAGGCTCATCAAGCAGCCTGGTTTGCTCAATTCGTCGGTGAGAAATCGTGCTTATCTATCCATCTTGGAAAGTTCATCTAAGTGATGCTTGGGATCTTCTGCCTGAAAATGACGTCTTTCTGCAATCTATCTACCATTTGTTTAGTGAGACTGCTTCTACCTTTTAAGTGTTGGTTTTGGTTACTGAACTTTTGCAGGCGGATAGAGAAGGATATGTTGCCATCATGATGCCAAGGCCAGCAGACTGGTTGAAGGTCAAGGCTTCATTGATGAGCGGCGAAGAGTATGCAAAGCTGAGAGAAGTAAGGGTGCTGAACTGATTGATGGAATCTCTCCAGCATGGATGGAGACTAGCACTCAGGTTCAGCTTTCTGCAACTATTGCAGCTCAGGCTTTCTTCTATACGCTTTGGAACCTGGAAAAGGCGCAGATTTGAATGCTATTTCGCCTCTTGCTTTCCTGCTCCAATTTGTGTTTGTTTTGTCTGATTAGCAAGAAGGAAGCACGCCACCTTGCTGAGGTGTTAGGCCGTGGCGAATTGTAATTCATGTCAGGGATCAAGTTTTGCAGATTTCTTGTGAAGTTGAAATGAAATTATGTATGGTCTAGTTTAAAAACTGCCTTTCTGAGTATGATCAGCAAGACTTTCATTTACTTTGGAAACTTAGGAGGATCTCTATGAACAGCTCTAAGAGCAGGGTATATCATCTTGGCTGCATTTTATGTTTGTACATTGAAATGGTGAAAGAAAACTAGTTAAGAATTGATTGCACACGACCTAGAAACAAATTGAATGGCTGAGGCTTTCGATTGGCCACCTGGAACTCTATTTAGCTAATCAATCTTCTTCTATTTTTCCTCCTACTTTCTCTCTAATATCTCCACCATTACCCTTCACCTTCTCCTCTTTGGCCTCGAACCCGAATTCTTCCTCCCCTATCATCATCTCTTGCATTATGAACCTCCTCGACCGATTAATCGTATGAAAGCACAAATACACATGTTCTTCGAGCTCATCTAGTTGTTCTAGGTAGCAAGCGTCGTGGTCACGAAGCTCCCTCACCACCTGCCTCAGTAGCTCTTCGTTCTTGTTGTTCCTCACACACATTGCGGAGAGCACCTTCCTGTGCTCTACCTCGTTGTTGAGGCTTGTCGCTAGCCTACTCATCGTATCGAAATCATTGATTAGGATAAACGTCCCCTTCGCCGCCAGGTCCAACTGCCTGCACACCTTCTTCATCAGGCCCACACTAAGTCGGCCATGAGGCACCACCGATGCTCTCGTCTTTCTCATTCTCCTTCTCCTTCTCCTTCCTTTCTTGGCCAACAAACAAGAAGATGAACACCCCACAATAGCCGGCGCCGCTACAATCCCCACAACGCTATGCAGCGCAATCACAAGCATGGAGACCACTAGTGTCATATGGAGGGCCACTAGCCCAAATCCTCCAATCTTTTTCAAGATCCGGTTCGCCTTGGCCCTCCTCCGAATGCTTCTCTTCTTTCGAGTCAATTTCTGGAGGAGAAACGTATTCCCATCATGAATCTCCTGGAATTGGACCGGTCTGACGAGACTCAAAGGGTTCACGTGCCTTGCGTACGAAGCAAGGTCTCTGTATATCGCCGCAGAGACCTGGCCCGTAAAATCTTCTACCCCCTGGCTCGTCTTGATCACCCTCGTGATCTTGCTGTATTGCAAGCGAGTTCTTTGCACCGACAGGAGGAGCAACTCGCACAGATCGCATGCTTCCGAGCTCGACTCGAAGTAGTCGATCAGAAGCTTGTGGCAGTTGAACCTCTCTACTAGCTGTGCGATGGTTTCCCGCTCCGGCTGTGGCCGGAGTATGTATCCCGGAGGAAGAGTAGACGACGAGGATGACGTGGAGGAGGAAGACGAGGAAGAAGAATTTCGACGGTCGATTAGCTTGGCTTGGAGTTCCGTCCACATTTCTACGTAAGACTCTGTGCGGAATGCTTCCTTGTACTCCTCGCTCACGTTTAGCTTGTTCCCCAAGCTACCGGGAGAACCCTCACTCTTCGATCTCCCTGAAGAAACAACACAAACAAAAACCAGACAGACACTCCGTTAATTAAAAAACCCAAGAAGAAAAACTCAAAAAACAGGGGAGCAAAAAACAGGGGAAGATGAAATGAATGAAAAACCCACCTCGGGGAAGGAGGAAAGATCGCAACTTGGACCAAGAAAGCTTCGCCATTTTTGTTTATCCGATCAAAGTGAACATGAGTGACGTTTTGTGCAAAAAAAAAAAAATCGACGCGATGATTCTCTGAATCGAGGGTGTTTCGTTTTTCTTTCTGAATGGGATGAAGTGAAGGGGTTTATATAAGAGGGAAGGAGAGGGAAATGGCGGTGTTTGTGGGGTAAGTCGGGGGGAGATGGAGAGAGGGAAAATGAGGTGAAGATGACAGTTGGCAGTTATGATGTAGGTTCCAAAAGAAATTGGATCATGTCTTTTGGGACAAGGCAACTAAACTAAGGATGTGGCATGTTTGGCACACGTTGGATTCTATGTAGTAGAGAGCCAACGTGTAAAAGCCCGCGAGAAGGAAATGGCTTGCGGGATTTTGGAACTATGGAGTATACTAGAAACCTTTTGAGCAGAATTGTGTGCTCCAAGAACAAGGCAACGCTTTTTTTGTTCGTGTCCAGGTTCAAATGAAAGCTTGTAATGAAGATAATTATCATGTATTTCGTATTACGATTAGGTTGATGTCTTTGAGTTTATGAAATAGACGTATTTCATATAAATCATGTATTATAAAGTTTCGTTATTACTTATATATATATTTTTTCTTATTGAGATAACAGAATTTTCTACGTGAATTCGATAAGGTTAACCAATTTGTTGATAGGTGTGATGACCGGCGATGATGCAAGATTTTCTTTTGTCAGAGGGTTGCTCATACGCTATATAGGAAATGTGTGTGTTGTTTTGTTTGCCTTTGGTTGTACCTGGTTTTCTGGAAGGGATTTGGTTTGCGGCTGACTCGGCTAACTCGGCTGACTTGTTCCTGACTTTTGGTGGGTTTTAACTCGGTCTTGTCTTTTACTTGGCCCCCAATTATTGTTGGAGTTTGACTTTAAAGCTGTAGCTTGCTGAGAAGTTGCATAACAGAAGAAACCGCGGTTATTTCTCAGTGTGTTTCGGTTATGGGTTCTTTATGTGAACAGTTTCACATTCTATAATTAGGGCAAGAAAGAAGGATGCACAAAAGGGGAGAGTCGGTGCAACCAGGAGCTTGAGCTTGTGTCATCTACATTTTGGTGGGCGGTGTAATAATTTCTCATCCATAGGTAAATATTAAATAAGGATTGATTGATTGATTGATTGTCATTAAGAAGAAAGGGTTCAGTAATTTATTGGTAAAGGATTTACATTTTTGAAGTGGAAAGCATTTTTACTTCTGCATATATCTCAGCTCTTTATAGTTTGATTGTTTTTCTCCTCTTGTTATATTTAGGTCGTTTGGAGAATGAAAATATAAATTATAAGTTATGTTAAACATCATAATAATAAAAAAATTAGATTAGTTAGAGAATTTGTTGATACATATATTTTGATGGGATAAATAAAAAATGAAGAGATAATGTAGGAGAAAACAAAATCACAAATCAAAATATAGAATCTCACTGATTATACGAGACTTAATATCCATAGATTTTAGAGATTTTAAATCTCTAAAACTAAAGTCCACAATACAAAAAAATAATTTTCTACAAAATTTACGGATTCAATGAATCCACGACCGAAGTTCTTTTATCCAAGCGACTCCTTACTTTTTTATTTAACCTTCGCTTTGATTTAAGTTAAAATTATGTTTTTTATGACACACCAAAAATTTCGGGTGCAAGTAAACATTACTATATCTTGTAAATAATTGACAAATGATTCGAAAATTTTGAGATATGTAAAATTTATTATTATTTTATGGGACTCACACTTTATCGGGTCGTTTAAATTATGATGATGAATTTAGAGAATTCATAAATTTAACAAAATGTCTTTTTTATGATAAGTATATATTTTTCAGAGATTTTAAATATCTAAAATTTTGAGTTTTCTAATCTCTAAAATGAGGGATTTTGTATCTGAATTTTTGTGATTTTTTTCCCCATTAAATATCAACAAGAGTAGTTACAACATCAAAATTAGAAGGAAAAAAAACTCGACAAACTAAAGAGTGAATTTTTTAAATTGTTTGGAACCTTTCAATTCTCTTAACAACCCATTGTTATCAATATTTACAAACTCAGCTATTTAAGCTTAAAGAGCTTAAATTATTTATAAATAGACCGATATTTTGTATGCATCTAAAATCTGTGGTTGGTTCCACAAGACTACAACTATACAGTCAACATCAGAATAATTAGTTGAACAGTTTAGGCCGCCCAGTTTACTTTTGAGGGGCCAAAACACAAATCGGCCCAAATCATGAAAAAGTGGGCTTGGGATTTCACACCCTACCGCCTCCAGACCAGAGCTGTTGTCGTTCACGAAACCAAATAAAACTTTAATGAGTCCACGTGAGCCACGTTGGTTTCTGGGCTTTTTTACGGGCATGTAATTAATGACGTTGCCTAATTAACCCCTAACGTGAAATTTTGGCCTCAAATGGAACGCAATTTGAAAAAAGTTTCCAAGTTTCATCATCGTTAAGACATCAATCCTTACTGAATTGGGAAACAATGAGGCAATGATTGGCCTGAACTTGCGGTTGAAAATGTCGTTGGCGGCACTAACTAACTCTTTTGCTTCCACTCTTCATCGTCTCGTTCAACGTGGCAGGACATCAACTTAGGTTCATTGTCGTGGTTCAACTAATTCCTTCCTTCTCATGAACTTGTCCCCTCTAAGCAACTCAAACCCTGAAGATCCATGGTTTCTTCTCCATTTGTGTGGATTGGGTTTGGTGGGGTTTTCATTAAGCTAGGCTTTCTCTCCACACATGGAAATCCAACAACTCATCTTATATTCGCAAAGAATTTTTTTAACAAAATAATGAGTTGGAATTTTAGTTATATTTCTTCCTAATTTTATGCTTCATGCGTTCACTTTAGAGGTGGTTTGCGTGTTGGATTTGAGTGATGCATTTGTCACTCAAATCTCAAACATGATGAATTTCAAGAATTTGGCTAAGGAATAAAAAAAACTTTGTGCACAAAGTTATAAATGAATGATACACAAATTAACTATACAAATAATGGACTCTTTCAAATACATAATGCGATAAATCTATCATAAATTGAAAGATTTTCAAAACAAAACAAATTGGTATAACTTACCTGAAATCTCATTAATTACTGCATAATCAAGTCATTACAGTCTGCTAACCAAATGAATATGAAAAAAATAGCCAGTATAGTGACCCATATTTCCTCCTCCAAAATCTCCATCAATCGTTTCATATCTCCTGAGCCTTCTTCCTAATCTCCTCGCAAAGTTTGCCCACCTCCAATGTCGTTTCTTCTACTCGATTCAGTTTTTGTATCATCGATTGACAGCCCATCGCCACCATCATCGGAGTGAGATGAGTAGATTAGTTAGGTTGAGAGCCAAAAAAGAAACCTAGCTATACCTTGGTTAATTCTGTCGATAGTGATGGCAATGGGGCGGGGCGGGTACCTCAATTCCCATGCCCCGCCCAACGCTACTACGGGTCAGGGCGGGTAAAACCCGCGCGGATACGGGGCGGGGCGGGTCGACCCACTTTTACATGTTGTTCAAAAAAAAAAAATACAAGTAAATTTTACTTTTTACAATAAAACGTAGGGAAAAACACTTTAAGAATGAAAAATATTGATAATAGAATGGATAATTGAGCCTAACAAGTTGAAAGATCGACTCTAACTAGTTGAAGAAAAGTCCAAATAGGAGAAATATGTATAGATATTGTAAGAAATTGAGATAAAATGAGTCTGAAACGGGGCGGGGCAGGGCGGATCGGAAGTAGATACCCATGCCCCACCCCACGCTACTGCGGGTCGGGTAATACCCGCCCCATCGCGGGTTGAAATTGCCATCACTATCTGTCGACCAACTAATTATGATTCGCTATATCGTTGTCATTTGAAGTGCACTATCTCGAACAACTATCACAAATCCAACTAGCAAACAAAATTTTAATTTTTATAGTTAAAAGTCGGGGCATCACTGCTAGACAAAAAAAAAGTCTACCTAGTAGATAAAAAAATATGGATTCCATCATCACTATTTAGGAGTGGGCAATGGCCTACAGGCGTTTCAACCCAATCTTAGGTCATTGTACTTAATTAATAGGTTAGTGGGTGTGGCAAATAAGCAGGGTGAATGACAGTGAAACAAACGGGTCAAATAAGTGGTTGTAAATTGTAGTAGATGAATAGACCACAAGTAAATTAATTAATACTAATATAGTTTGGCCAACACAATTAATAAGGCTCCCACCATTTTAACACACAAACCCTGGATACACATTCGTGACATATGTACATAACCAATACCAATTGATTGATAAAGAAAAAGCAAAAGAGGCACACAACTAAATTCACACCACATATGTTTAAAAAGTTTTCAAATTTATTTACATTGAGCATTTATTATCGACATGAGTGACTAGTCTGTCGTGATGGATGATCACATGAAACAATAAACGATTAGCCATATCGAAAAATATATGATCATCAGTAGAAATTAAACTCCTGACTCGTAAGACTGAACAATGAAACAATCATTCACTACACAACACCCACCTGATTGCAAAGCTGCTCCCAACAATATCACACAATACAACAAGGACCGGATTGGAGGGGGGGGGGGGGCACTATGCCTACGTAAAAAAAACCGTTGTTCATATATTTTCTATGCTCTAACCTTTCGCTCCCCTACTGAAAAGGGGTCAAGCTACTTCGCACCACTCATAGACTATTTAGATTCAATTCAAAAGGCCCTACTTAGTTTACTGACAATGACAAAGGTCTGCGAACTAAGTAGGGCTTGAGGCCTTCTATTTGGGTTTCATATACAAATTAGAGTTTGGTACCTAAACATAAAAGGTGTTAGCATTTAGTACCTATTTTTATGCATATAAGTCCTAAAATATTGATGAAAATTTATATTTTAGTTGCAAATTTTTTGTCTTATGTTTTGATACCTAAACTTTTTAAAATTTACAAATAGGTTTAACTTTATGAGATTTATGGTCCGCTTTAAGAAACTTGTGGTTTGCTTTATGAGGTTTCTAGTATTCTTTAAGAAACTTGTGGTATATTGTAGTAAACTTGTGATCTGC